AGAGAATTTCCAGGAGTTCAAGCTGGATTCAGAAGAGGATGTGGAACGAGGGATATCATTGCTGATGCCCAATAGATCTTGGCTGAAAGCAGAGAATACCAGAAAGATGTTTACCTGTGCTTTATTGGCTACACAAAGGCTTTTGACTGTGTGGATCATGAAAAGCTATGGACAACATTGTGAAATATGAATATTCATGAGCACAATTAAGTGCTCAGAATCTGTACATGGACCAAGAGGCAGTTGTTCGAAAAGAACATGGAAACACTGAATGATTTAAAATTAGGAAAAGTGTGTGACAGGGTTGAATTCCTTTACCATGCTTATTCAACTTGTATGCTGAACAAATACCCCAAGAAGCTGGATTATATGAAGAAAAATGTGGTATCAGGATTGGAGGAAGACTCATTAACAACCTGTGATATGTAGATGATACAACCTTGTTTGCTAAAAGTGAAGAGGACTTAAAATATTTACTGATGAAGATCAAATATTTTAAGTCCTTCATGTAGAAGGCACAGCCTTCAGTATGGATGGCATCTCATACTGCATTTCTTCTGTAAAGAAAAAAGAAATCCTCACCATTGGACCAATAAACAACATTCTTATCAACAGAGAAAAGACTGAATTTGTCAAGGACTTCATTCTTCTTGGATCAACCATTGTCACTCACAGAAGCAGCAGTCAAGAAATCAAACTATGTATTGTGATAGGCAGATCTGCTGCACAAGAGCTTTTTAAAGTGTTGAAAAGCAAAGATGTCAGCTTGAGGACTAAGGTGCGCCTGACCCAAGCCATGGTATTTCAATAACATCAAATGCATGTGAAAGCTGGACAGTGAATAAAGAAGACCATAGAAGAATTGATGCTTTTGAGTTATGGTGTTTGAGGAGAATATTGAAAGTGCCATGGGCTGCCAAATGAACCAATAGATCTGTGTTGGAAGAAGTGCAGCCAGAATGCTCCTTGGAGGCCAGGATTGCCAAACTCCGTCTCTCATACTTCAGACATATTGTCAGGAGTGACCTGTCACTGGAGAAGGATATCATGTTTGGTAAGATGGAGGGTAAGAGAAAATGAGGAAGACCCCCAGTGAGATGGATTGGCAAAGTGGCAGATGGATTGGCAAATGGGCTCAAGCATGGCAACAATTGTGAGGTTGCCCAGGACTGGGCATTGTTTCTTTCTGTTGTGCATAAGGTTGCTATGAGGCAGTACTGACTCGATGGCACCTAACAACACCAACAACTGCAAAAGACCTCTTTAAAGTGTTTAAGAGAAAAGGTATCAATGTGACTAGTACTAAGGTGGGCCTGACCCAATCCTGGTGTTTTCAGTTGCCTAATATGCTGATGTAAGGAGCTCTTGTAGCGTAGTGGTTATGAATCGGGCTGCAAACCTCCGGGACAGCAGTTCGAAACTACCAGCTGTTCCGTGGGAGAAAGATGAGGCTTTCTGCTCCCGTAAAGATTTATAGCATTGGAAACCCTGTACAGGGTCGCTATGAGTTGGAACCAACTCCACGACACATAACAACAATATGCTGGTGTAGACTCCTGTTGTGGCACTGTGGGCTAATGCATTAGACTGCAAAGCCTTTGGAACTGCAAGGTTGGTGGTTCAAACTCACCAGCTGCTCCTCGGAAACCCTATACAGGGTCACTATGAGTCAGAATTGACTTGACAGCACTTAACAACAACAATAATATGCTGGTCTAAGGAGTTCTGGTAAGGAGCTCTGATAATGTAGTGGTTACGAATTGGGCTGCTAACCTCACTGGTCAGCAGTTCGAAACTACCAGGTGTCCCATGGGAGAAAGATGAGGCTTTCTGCTCCCATAAAGATTTACAGCCTCGGGAACCCTATACAGGGTCACTATGGGTCAGAAATGACTCCACAGCACACCACTACCACCACCACCAAGGAACTCTGGTAGCATAGTGGTTAAGAGCTAGGCTTCTAACCTCAAGGTCAGCAGTTCGAAACTACCAGCGGTTCTGCAGAAGAAAGATGAGGCTATCTGCTCCCATAAAAATTTACAGCCTTGGAAACCCTATACAGGGTCTCTATGAATCTGAACCGACTCCACGGCACATAACAACAATAACAATATAACAATCACCATTAGTAAAAGAATCCCTGGTAGAATAGTGGATTATGAGCTGAGCTGCTAATCAGAGGGAATTTACTAATCGCTCCTCAGGAGATAGATGAAATTTTCTGCTCCCATAAAGACTTACAGCCTCAGAAATTCTATATGGGGTAACTATGAGTTGTAACTGATATGACGGCACTCAACAACAAAAACAGCAATTAGTAAAGCTCCTACTATTAATATATGAACAATGACTGGAATAAAGAGGGGGTAATGTAATGGCAAGGCCCAACAGAAGGATTCGGATCAAATGTAAGGTCTAAGCACATCCATTACCAAGTTTGTCTCCAGCATTATTGAAAATAAAAAGCCTGGAAATAGGTCCCTGCGGGAAGAAGGGTAAGTCATCAACAATGACCTAATTATTTCTGCCCTACATCTATATTTACCTAGAAATCTGCTGATTATTCATTTATTTCCCAGGAAACTTGTTACAAGGAAGTTGACGCCAATAGCTATCTATCTGATTAGCTTTATGGACTGTCCGCCACTGTAAAAGTAAAAACAAATTCTTGTTTTAGAATTAGCCTTTTGAGAGTCTGATTAGTGTCAATAAAATGTCTGAAGAAAAGAATTTGGAAAATGCTATCAGTTCAACTTAATTGTGTGAGCCGAACCTCTTTGGCACTGTAGGATAAGTACTGGACCACAAGGTCGGTTTGAATCGCAAAGTTGGTGGTCAAAGTCACCAGCTATTCCTCAGAAACCCTGTACAGGGTCGCTATGAGTCAGAACTAACTGGACAGTACTTAATAGCAACAATAACCTCACACTCGGGAAAACAAATGCATAAAACCAGATTGGTGTCATGGTGACATCACATACTAATATTGAAAAGTCTGAAAGTTAGAGCGTTCATTCACTCTCTTCATTTTTCCATTTTTATCTCAAGGGCCTGAAATATTTACTTTTAATAATTACATGTACCCTTGGGAAAACTAATAAAAACCAATCACCTTCCTATTGTTAGATACTGTCTGAGTCAGTTCCAATTCATAGTGACGTGATACACAACCAAATGAAAACTTTTGGTCTTGCAACATCCTGACAATTGTTATGTTTGAGCCCGTTGTTGCTGTTACTGCTACGGTATCAATCCATCTTGCTGGGGGTCTTCCTTCCTGTTTTTGTTAAGATCTTTACTGTTGAATACCTTTGAATAACTACCAAACACATGTGAACATCTTTCTGGTTTCTCTGCTTTCATCCTAGATTCATCTGATATCAGCAACAAAATACTTTGTTCACGTTCTCTTTTCTGAACTCTACCTCAATTTCTAGCAGTTCCCTGTTGATGTACTGCTGTAATAATTTTTAGCTTTTCTCGAGCAAAACTTTACTTGTGTGTGATATTAATAATATGGTTTAGTAATTTCCATATTCTGTTGGATCACCTTCCTCAGTATTACTTATCGCCATACTCATCTGTTGTTTTCTCCTACTGTGATGGCTTGTGTGTTACTGTGATGTTGGAAACTATGCCACCAGCATTATAAATACCAGCAGGATCGCATCTGCTGACAGGTTTCAGCAGTGCTTCCAGATTAAGACACACTAAGAAGAAGAGGTGGACTACTTCTGAATGGTCAGTGACTATACCCTTATAAATAGCAGTAGAACATTGTCTAATATGGTGCCAGAAGGTTAACCCCTCAGTTTGGAAGACACTCAAAATAAAACTGAGAAAGTGCTATCTCCTCAAAGTAGAGTTGGCCTCAATGATGTGGATGGAGCAAAGCATTTGAGACCTTCATTTGCAGATGGGATACTTCTAGTGTGTTCAAAATTACAAGAAACAGCTGCAAATATCCATTAAAAGTGGAGAGTCAGAAAAAGAAAAGAAAAAAAAAAAAGACCCCAATGAGATGGATTGACACAGTGACAACAATGAGCTCAAACACAACAATTGTGAGGAGGGCACAGGAATGGCCACAGCCTGTTCATTCTATTGTGCACAGGATTGTTTTGAGTTGGAACTGACTGGATGACACTTAACAACAACAACAGGCTTTTTCTTGTTTGCAAGACAAAGTTTTACATAATCACAATGTCCATCTTAGAGAATTGGATTATATTATAGCAATGCTAATGGAGCTCTGGTAGTGTAGTGGTTATGAGACAGGCTGCTCACCTCAAAGTCAGCAGTTTGAAACTACCAGCTACTCCATGGGAGAAAGAGAAAGCTTTCTGCTCCTGTAAAGATTTACAGCCTCAGAAATCCTGTGCAGGGTCGCTATGAGTCGGAACCGACTCTGCAGCACACAACAACCAACCACTACCACAGCAATGCTATGAAATATTATGCAACCATTTAAAACAACTTACTAACATGGTACAATCCCCCAAACACACTGCAAAATTAAAAAAGTTAACTAATGTAACACATGCCATTTGAGAAAAAAATATATTTGTATTAATTATGTCTTTTTACAGGACCCTAAATGTGACTTTATATTTCATTATTACTGGATTGTTTTATATCTAGCATAAATTTATTTAAGAAAAAATAAGTATAAAAATCAAATAAATAATTCTAAGAATATATGAGTATGCAATACCATGCAAAATATGAAGTTTCTAATATATTCAAAATAATTAACAATTACTATGTTGTGGAATTCTCACAAATAAAGTCAGATTATGTTCCTACTGGATAAATTAATCCACTGATATTACACATAATTGATTCTGAAGCTCCCAAAAGTTAATGTTTTTAACCAGAGGACCTGTGCTTAGTTTTGTAGAAATGTACTGTCTTTCCTTATGATTCAATGTAGTGTTTTTTTAATACAAGAAATGGATAAGCAACAATCATATCATGGGTACATTTGCTTTTATTTCCAGAAAATCTTGGATGCAACTTTTTTGTCTGGGGACTTATAGCCTTCTTGGGTTTGTGTCTTATTATATCACTGATGTTCAATATTTCTCATTATTTGGAAAAGCATCGACAAGGTAAGACAATATAACAAGTAGTCATATGGTATCTGCATGAATTGAAACTTGTAGAGTCACTGGAAGAATTATAGAAGAAAACAATTTTATGAAATGTCATCCAATGGGATATTCTTATCTGTAGAAAATCTATTTGATGATTTTTTTTACCCTGAGGGTTTTTTTAAATTAAGAATGTAATCATCATATTAGAAATGTTTGCAAACTCCCAGGTTTAGCTTTTATCAACCTGTTGATGCCTTCATCTGTGTAAGAGTACAAAGTTGGAAGGGATTGCCCTGTTTTAAACAGATATTTGTCATCCTCCAATTCAACAACCCATGGATTTTGTTCTGGTGCAGTCATAAGAGTCTATCTGATGCATGATGAGAAAAGTGAAAAATACTACTTTAAGATTTGTCTCAAGCCTACTGAAACTTCTAAGGATCTATTAGGATCTCTGTAGATAACCTATAGTACTCCAGACTGGGGTGGACGCAGAAGCAGATTGGGAAAGCATGGGGTTTGAAATGAAATATTCTCAGAGTATAGGACAGACGATCAAGAGAATCTCCCATTGGAGATTTTCTTTTGCAATATGTTGGACAGTTATTTTAATCATCTGGCTTCCATCATTGTATACCAGTTTCAAATAAATAATGCTCAGCAATTTGTTCCATTATGTAGGCATCTGATCAGTATATTTTAAATGTTTGTCTATATGTATGTAAAAATGAAAGCTCAAATATTTGAATAATGTTTTAGTATTATAAACCCAAGTCACTATTAAGGACAGGGCACCTAAGTAGAAATAAGGGAGCAGCAAAGAAAATGGAAATGCATTTTCTTTTAGTGCATTTTAAAAAAGAAAATGAAGCAAAGTTAATTCAACACACATACAAGAAAAGTTATCAGAGCTAAGTTAGAACAATGGTCATATTCTTAAGAATTTTTTGATCCTCCTAGGAATATTTTCTTAAGTGTTGATAATGCTAACATAAAATATGAAGAGGAAGGCATTATTGTCATGTATGTTAAAAAAATTATAGGTGCTGAAAAATAGAGCATTGCTGAGGTCACACAACTATTTAAAAGAAAATTCAAGAATAAGTGACTTATTTTTCTAAATCTCTGTTCTAAATAGTTTCCACCAGAAAAACAATCAGTATTTTTAAATATCTAAATATAAATTACATTATAAGTCAAGTTTTAAATAACCCATCATTAGACATGTACAAAGTTTTGTTTATAGGGAAAAAAAACAAAACTGAGCTAAGAGTAGCTCTTTTCTTTATGCGATAGCTTATAATGAATGTATTTTAATTTCATTAAAATATTTTCTCATGGATTAAAATGAGGTGACCTGAGATCTAGAGAGGTGAAATAATTTAAGGAAAACCAAGATACGAACAATCATCTGCACCATGACCTCACTCTTCCGTTAATTCCTTTCAAGACTTTTAAAGACCAGAGAGCAAATAGGTTGGGAAGCAGGGTGCCTGTAGGATAAACACTAGACTGCAAACCATAAGGTCAGTAGTTCCAGGCCATCGACCTCTCTGAGGGAGATAGATGAGACTTTTGGCTCCCTCAATGATTTACAGCCTTGGAAATCTCATGCAGAATTGCTGTGAGATGGCACTTAACAATAATTTGAGCCTGACTGACTATCAAATTGCATCTACACAATTTGATCTATTTACTTTAAGCCTGGTCTTCATTTTCTTTTTTCTTTTTCAAATTCTGGTAGCTACGAATCGGGCTGCAAACCTTAAGGTCAATAGTTTAAAACTACCAGCTGTTCCGCGGGAGAAAGATGAGGCTTTCTGCACCTGTAAAGATTTATAGCCTTGGAAACTCTGTACAGGGTCGTTATGAGTCAGAAGTGACTCTATGGCACATAACCACCATTATTGCATTAGCTAAGTACAAGGTTGGCAGGCCAAACCATTAAGTCACTCCTTGGAAACCCTATAGAGGGTCACTATGAGTCAGAATGGACTAGTTGGCACTTAACAACAACATGATTACACTGAATTGTGGTGAATATGAATTTTAGAACCAATTTCTATTAACATTTTCAAGCATTGGACCAATCTAATTTTACAGACCTATTACTTCTGTCAGAAGCCTTGGTGGCACAGTGGTTAAAGAGCTCAGCTTCTGACTGAAACCTTGGCAGTTTGAACCCACCAGTCACTTCATGGGAGAAAGATATGGCTGTATGCTTCTGTGAAACTTATAGTTTTGGAAACTGTGGAATCAGTTCTATTCTGTTCAAAATAGAGTTACTATGGGTCAGAATTGATTCATTGCAATGGGTTTGGTTTTAGGTTGTATTGCTTTTCCCATAGCTATGTTTGGCTCTATTACTCTGTTACACTCCATATGAACAGATTTTCCCAGTCTCATCTTGATAGTTTATGCATCAGAATTTATTTACCTCTATCAATTTCATGGACTCCTGGTATGATGCTGTAGGATAAGCAATGGACTTCTAGCCACAAGTTGGCAGTTCAAACCCACCAGCTGCTCCTCAGAAACCCTCTACATGGTTGCTATGAGTCAGAACTGATTCAACAGCACTTAACAAAAACAGCAATCCATAACATACACACTATCATACATGTTATCATACAAACTCCATTGGGGTGTTGTTTGCTTATAATGTTACGTTAACCACTTTATAACACAGTTGTTGTTGTTGTAGCCTAATTTAAATCAAAGCTGTACTTTTTTTCTTTTATTTCTTTCAGAACAGATTTATTTCTCTTTTTTCCAACTATATAAATCCTTACAGCCTCAGGCATGCAATAAATTTCTCTGTTGCCTGAAAACAGTGTAGTGGGAAAGAACATTTCTAAACAGCAGGAAATAGTTAATTTAAATTATTGATGTATTTTTAAGTCAATTTTAGTTTGATCAATTATTTTTAACAGTGCGTCTTTTGAAGTCAGTCTGATGTGATGACAACTCTATTTTCAGTATCTGGCTAGAAGATTTTGTATAAGTAAAAGTACTTTTCTGAGTATCCATTTCCTTATCTAAAAATTGTGGAAAATATTCTCTACATCCTATGGTTCTTATGAGAATTACATAAATACCGTAACAGTGCTGAGGACTTAGAAGGTCCTTCTTAGGCCTGGTAAAGCCCACATCCCAATAACTGATGGCCCATACCTCCAGAAATATTTAAGGACCTGCTGTTGTTACACGCTATTATAATGATTGTTATTTCCATGAACTTAACTTCCTCCCATTTTCTTACTGCTCCCCACTGCTCAGATCATCCAGGCCTTCTCAACTCCCACCTCTCAATAGAACATAAACCAATTCAATATGGACCATTTAATGGCACTGATAACATTTTTTTAAATTGTGCAACTGTTCTCACCCTCCTTTTCTGAGTTTTTCCTCCTCTATTAATAGAGACTCACTGCCTTAAGGTTCCTATTTCAGTTTTCGAGTTGTTCTTGTCAGCTAGATCTTAAAAAAGCATAAAACTCAAGGCAAACACTTTTAACTAGTTAAGCTGAAGCATCATTTAGCTTTAAGAAGACTGCAGGGGTTTTTTGGTTTTAGATTTAAGATTATTTCAGGGTAATAGTTTTAGAAGCTATCTAGCTTCTACTCCATCTCCTTAGTTAGCAAATCTGAACTGTTGTGTTCATTTAAATCATATTTGGGTCCATTTCAGAGACTTTCTATAGGCTTTTGCAAGACTAGTTGTACACATTAGCCTTTTTTTTTTTTTTTTTTTTTTTGAGCAGTAATATGTCCTCCTTAAGTGGAACATACAACATCTGCTATTATATTTTATCAGAGGCTTTCTACTCCCGTAAGGATTTACACCCTCGGAAACCCTGTACAGGGTCGTTATGGGTTGGAACCGACTCGAAGGCACTTAACAACAACAACAACAGGTGGTACAAATGATTACGTGTCAACTACTAGAGGAAAGATAGGCAGTTCAAACCTATACATGTGCTCCTGGTGAAACAAGCTTAGTGGCTTGCTTTTAAAACCTCATGGAGCAGCTCTGCCCTGCACACATGGGATTAGCACGTGTAGGATTTGACTTGACAACCACTAACAAGAATCACCTTGTATAAGCTTTGGAGCAGCATTCTTAGATGTTATGATAATGCCCTTGGGTCTCATTCCTCCCCTACTATCTCACTGCAGTCCTTTTTCAACCACCCTAACCTCCTCTGGCAACTTTCCCTAAGTATTAGTAATAACTCTGACAGCTTTCCATTCCATATGAGCAAATAACAGTATCTTTCTCTCTCACCCAGAGTTATAAGGTAGATTTGCAATTATCTCTTTACAATTCTTCTAAAGCCTCTTCTACCTTATTTTTCCTAGGCTAGAAAAGATTCCATCATATTAAACAGCTTTTCTGCTGCTTTGATTGTAAATGCAATACCCCTGTATCTGGTCTCATGTAGCTTTTCCTTTTTGCATCTTTGTGTTATTCTTTGTGGCTAAGAAGCTTGCAAGATATGACTCCACCTTAGCAAACTATCAGTGAATGAATTTTGTTGGTGTATTAATAGCTAACAAAAGAAAATCTTCATCCCAGCAACAATACAACTTCTATAGATTCAATCAGATAGACAAGATAAGCCTCTCCTTGAAGTTCTCTGTAGCAGAGCTAGGTAGAAACTTTCATATGGAGTGTTTCCTTCCTTCCCCTCAAAAAACAAATATTTCATTTAAAAAAGATTCTTTGTCCAAATCTGTTCTTTAGGAGAACTGATATTTCTTCATTTTTCTGATAGGAATGTACTGGCTTTCCTCCTTTGAAATTGAAATCATATTCTTTATCTCATCTCTTCTCTGTTTTGAGAAGAAGGATGAATCAGTATGTAGTTTTCTCATACAGAAAAGTTCTATCACTATATCTCTTTTTCACTGCAAAATTAAGGCCTATTTTATTTCAAATTTTCACATTAAAAATGTATCAGAGAACTTTTGTTGTTGTTGTTAAGTGCCATCGGGCTGATTTTGACTCATAG